ATTATACATTATAAAAAGTTGGTACCTTGAAATTACTATATTATGTTCAAAAGAAAAAAAAAAATTATAAAAGCATAAATAAAATAAAATGGAAATAGTTGGTGTTGAAAAAAGTGTAGGTTTTTAAAAGACAATGTCTTCCTTTTCAAGCTATGGAGATTATGAATTTATCATGACATATAGCACTACTCATTATTTAAAATTGTATAGCTAATTGTACAATTTGATTGAAAATGTAGCACTACTCATTATTTAATAATATTAATAATATTGAAAAGAGTTGAGTTGAATTAAATTTTGAATTTGATTTTGAGTTAAAAAAATATAAAAATTTATTTAATCTATCAAAACCAGTTTTAATATATAGTCAATCGCACCCTAGGTTGTGTCTGAGTTTTTATAAGCAAGGATTGGGTTCATTGGAGGTGTTAAATGAAACGGGCTCTTTGTTATTCCGTTTCAGTCTCTCCACATTACACACGACCAACAAAACCCAGTACGGGAAAAAGATAAGTCTCTTCCACACCATCAAGACATTGACATATGAGGACACTTACATCATCACGTAGCACCAAATACCTATGTTAAAATTGAAATTAAAATTTATAAACTTGTAGAAAACATTAAGAATTATTTAGGAAATATTTTGTTAGGTAAGTTTAGATTATTTTTATGATCATTTGTTGAAATTTAGAAACTTGCAGAAAACATTCACGAGGCTATTAATATGTGGTAGGATTCTCTAACGTAGAGTTCCAAACCATCTCATATTCTCCCTATATATATATATATATATATGATAACAACAAATTTATATTCATAACAAAAATATCTTTTCTCATTAACAATTTCAAAATCGAAGTATTATTATAATTTTTCATTTTTATATAATTTTCAATTTAATATTACAGTTAATCAAACTTATTCGATGATTTGATTCAGTACCCATTAGAGGTGTTAAACGTACGTATGAATAAAATTTGGTGTAAATGTCTTCCACACCATCAAAGTATAGTAACTAAAATTAATATTGCCCAATAAGATGTGACAATACTTCATCAAATAGCAATAAATATTACAAAATTCAGTGTAAATGTCTTCCACACCATCAAAATATCAAATGGTGACTAAAATTAATATGTGACAATACTTCATCAAATAGCAATAAATATTATGTGAAAATTAAGGTTCATTTAGCACCAAAAATTATGTTAAAATTAATGTTCATGAAATTTAGAATTTAGGTAAGTTATTCTTAGAAATAAAAGATAATGAAAGAGGCTGTTATTTGAACACCATATGTAAATTAAATATTTTTTAAACAACATATATAAATTAAATATGTATAATTGTTATGATCATGGTTTAAAAATCGGACTAGACCAACCAGTTTGACCGGTTCCCCAATCCAACAGTCCGGTCGGAGGTCTTAAACCGCTCGGACCGTACAAAAATCGGTGAAACACAGCGAACATGCACCGGTTTCCAGCAACTAACGGCTTAAAACGCTCCATTGCTTTGATGTATTCCCCATACTCTCAACTTTTTCTCCTTTTT